CAATGTCCACTTCTTTAGTGAACCTGTACTTGGCCTCTCTGTAGCAGCACTGAAGTACCAGGGCATCCATACGCGGCGCCATCTTGGTTGAAATAAAAACTTTTGCAGAAACAAGTTTCTGTGATATATTAATATAATATGATCATTTAGCCTAATATACAGAGAGATTAGGAGAGAGCAAAAAAAGGAAAGAAAGTCAGAAAAGAATGAGCCAGCACAGGAGAGCTAGTAGACTATGATAAAAATAACATTTTATGAAAATTCTGACATTGTGATACAAAATCACATCTCTCAATAGAGGCTTATCAAAGTACATACCCATTTTATGTATACACTCTGCAGTCAGAGATAATAGTACAGTGATTCTGACAGCTTTTTCTTCTTCTCTTTAGGGCTCAGCATGGAGGATCTAACTAATGCCGTTAAAAGTGCACTGAAGAAAAATGATGCTGCTGCAGCTGTGAAATTGATTAAAGAGTTTTTAAAAGACCAAAATAATATTCCACTAAAGATCGCCATCACAGGAAAATCTGGTGCTGGTAAATCCACCTTTGTTAATGCCTTCAGAGAGATGTCCGATGATGACGAGGGAGCTGCTCTTACTGGTGTTACACAAACAACCTTACAGCGTAGAGAGTACCCCCATCCAAACTATCCCAATGTTATGTTAGGGGATCTTCCTGGGATCGGCACCATGAAGTTTCCAGCTGATGAGTACCTGGAGCTTGTTGGATTTGAGAAGTTTGACCTCTTCATCATCATCTCAGACACTTGCTTCAGAGAAAATGAGGTGAAACTCGCAAAGGAGATTCAGAAGATAAAGAAAAAGTTCTACTTTGTTCGCTCAAAGATTGACAACGATATACAAGCTGAGAGAAGAAAGAGAGACTTCAATGAAGGGAGGACTCTTAAAAAGATCAGAGAAAAATGTGTTCAAGGTGAGTTCCTCTTTTATTAAGATAAAATATACTTTTTACCAGATGTTTTTAATTATTTATTTATATTATGAAAAGTGTGGTTGTTTTAGATTAAATATCATTTATCACACAGATCTTCGAGAACGAGGCATCCCATTTCCACAGGTCTTCCTTGTGTCCAGCTTTGAGCGCAGTCTTTACGACTTCCCTTTCTTACGTGAGATATTCGAGAGAGATCTTCATGCACACAAGAGAGATGCTCTGCTGTTTGCCATGTCTGATATCAACCAGAAGATCATCAACGAGAAGAAAGAAACTTTTCAGTCTAAAATAACATTCTATGCTACTCTGTCTGGAGCTGTAGCAGGAGTTCCACTCCCTGGGCTTTCTGCTGCTGTTGATATAGGCTTGATCATTAAGGTTGTCAAAGAATATGTAGCTGGGTTTGGTCTTGATAAGCCATCTCTGGAGAAACTTGCTTCCAGCTCAGGTGTTCCATACACTGATCTGTTTGCTGTTATCAAGTCACCACTGGCTAAAAGAGAAATAAATAAAGAGCTCATCCTGAAGATTTTGACCCAGCTAGCATGCACAGCTGCATTACTAGCAGCAGAGGAAGGATTCAGATGGATTCCAGTAATTGGAATTTTAGCATCAATCGGTCTCTCTTTTACATTTACCAACAAAGCTCTGAATCATTTCCTCAACACTCTTGCTGAGGATGCTGAGACAGTCTTTAAAAGGGCTCTGAATTTGGATTAGTAACTAAATTACAAAGTGATTTAGTATCAAATTTGAAGTGGCAATGTACAAAATAATAATAATCTTCCAAGTCAACTGAACAAATCTTTCTATATAAATAAATCAGTAATGCAAACCATAATCTAGATGTTTGAGGAATAGCTGTCAATGGCAGGTCTCATTTCATTTGATCACAGCAGCTCACTTCTCGCAGCAACACTCAAACGTTCCTCTTTGTATCAATACAGGACCAAATGGGATCTATTCAGATATAAACTGTGTACAATGTGTTTACTACTTATTTGTGTAATTATTAATATTAGCACTACATTGAGATGGGACTGATTGTTTTACAATATTTTAATTTAATAGGTTCCACTATTATAAATTATAAGAGTACTTGATGTATCTACACATATGAACTGTAATATTTACCATTACTGTCTGTTATTAATAAAATGTTTTTTGTACATTTAAATAATATACATTAGTGTGAGAAATAGGTGCAGTGATTTCTGCAATGTACAAAAATACATGGAAACACAGTATATGAGGTAAAAACAGAGTTTGTACATTTTTCACAAGCTTGAAAGTTAATATTTGCTATGAGCACCTTTATTCTCCAGCACAGTCTGAACTCTGTAAGGGAAGCTTTCTGTAATTTCTTTAAGCAGTCTTCAGTAATAAATCTGGCTTGTTGAAGGACATTCAACGCTCTTCTTTGGATCTTTCTGATTTTCTCTCACACTGTCAGGCTCTGTGGAGGTCGAACCTGTTACGGGTGGCGGTCACCAAAAGGAAAAAAGGAGTCAAGCACAGACACCACTTGGAGGCACAGGGAGTAAATGCAACAATGTACCAAATTTACAGCAAGTGCTATTAAACAAGATGACGATAAATAAAGACAATGCAAAGCGTGATTCCGCTAACACAGAGTAATGATCTAAACCAAAAACAAAGTGTTGAGCATAAAGCATAATTTGGCACAGACTAGAAAACCTAATAATCAGTACAAACTACCCAACTAGTTTTACTCACAAAGAACAGAATATTATCGTAACTGAGCTCATCATAGTTTCATATTGCAAACACTACATAGCGATCTTATCCTTTAACGCTACACAACTCTGCACAAACGTCCTTATGATATAAAGAAGCGACTTGCTCAGCATACTAACACAGAACTAAGTTATATTTCATTCAACCATACAACAACAATAATGTGCAGTAAATCATTTAGAGGCAGTGAGGGAACCCATTAGGGAGCCTTGGGGCTGTCGTGGTCACAGGTAGGGAACCCGACACTAGGTACTATCTAGAGCAGAAACCCTGGGAACGGGGAGAAAGGAGGTGGGGAGGGAGCATGAAATTGTAGAGTCACTGAAATGAGGAAAACAGTGTTAAACGTCAGTTGACGGACACCAGTCCAAAAGTTGTGCTGCGTTTGCAAAAAAACATCTTGCTTCTGCAAGCAGAGGCAAAGCATAGAGGATGCTCAGGATGAGCTGTAATGGACAGCCAGCGAGCAATCCGTGAGCCGCAGTTTGTTGGGCAGAGGGGCAGGCAGGTGAGTGTCACCAAAAGAGCATTGAGTAATGCAGCGACAATCCACTGTTCGAGAACGGCGACGTAGCTCCTTGTCATCCAATGACAATACTGTGAGCAAAAGATACAGCATTAATACAACCATAACCAACACAATCTGATCAGTCTGTGACGGCCTTCACTAACGAGAATTCGCTGACGATCTGGCGAGGAATGATTGTGTGCACTGGCCTTAAATCTCTGCCGCTCAATTACTCGCATGTGCCGCCGGTCTAGGGAAATGAGAGACCTCCACCCCGGTAAGAAGACGCCAGGGACACCGATCCCACAGACCATGACAGAACCATTACTGATATTTGTACACTATTTTTCTATCCAGGTACTTTTAATGCATTGGCATTGTGTTTAGGGTCATTGTCATGCTGGTAAATGAAGCTGTGGAGGTAAACACAGACGACAGGGGAGCTCTCAATTAACACTCCTGAATACAACTGAATACTTTTCACTCTGACACACCAACAACACCTCCTGTAAACTGGGTGTGAGTGGAGCCCTCCAGTGGTCCACCCCCCTGAACACCCAGTAGGGTCATCCCCTAGTCCAGAACCTTTGCTTTAATTAAAAGTCCAGAACAGCTTAACCGGGAAGGTTGAAAACTGGCTGAGGGGAACAGAGCCTGAGGACCAGGCTGGCATGGTTATTGAAGTTAACTCAGAAAGATCATAGAGAAAGAGTCTAAAATATCAGCAGTTATCAAATTTGGGATTTTTTTTCAGTAATGGTTACATTTTATTTGTAAAGAAGTTCATTAAGTCATTACTAGTCAACATTAAAGCAGGAGTGGGGAACTCCAAGTACCAGGTACCAAGGCCCGGTGTGCTGCAGGTTTTAGATCTCACCCTGGGTCAGCACACCTGAATCAAATGATTAGTTCATTACCAGGCCTCTGGAGAACTTTAAGACATGTTGAGGAGGTCATTTAGCCATTTAAATCAGCTGTGTTGGATCAAGGACACATCTAAAACCCTCGGGACCTGAGGCCTGGAGTTCCCCCACCTCTGTGTTAAAGGGATGTTTTGTCAGCCTGGTTACAGAGCTGAAGAGAAACCTGGGGTTGTCCTTTCATATTTATTTTTTTATTTCACACTTGGTACAACAATTCAAACAAACCAACCACACTTTCTATCAAAAAGCACTACAACCATGTGTGAAAAGGAGCAGGAAGAAGAAAATATTCTTATTAAACCCCGCCCCCTATCTACAATCCAATTTATATTACAAGTGGGCTCCAAAAATCAGGGAACAAACTAACATTAACATTTATCTCCAGTCCTAACCCAAACCAAACAGCAAATTTACAATCAGAATATACCACTCCACATAGTAACAAGGAGAAAAATAAAATTAAAATAAATAAAACAAAAAATTATAATGGATCCTTTTTCAATGAACTCCAATTTCATTCGCATTCTTCATTATTGAGTTATCGTTTTAAGCATGTAACACTTTTTAAAACAATGTAAACTTATACAATTCTTTAAATTATAATGAAGAGAGTTCCACAGTCGTTGTCAAGCTCTTTAAGTTTGTGCAGCTTCCCCGCTTGAAAGGGATTGATGCATCTACCACAGGTGTTTAACTGGATTTCACTCAATGACCAGGCAGATCTTTTGTTTTCCTTTTTCTTTAATCTTCTTTTCGGCCATAGTCAGCCATAGGTGAAA